AAAGTTTTTTTCTAGCAGTTTCTTAGAAGCACTATATTAACTATTCCCAGATAATCTGTACTAACTCAAACATTATTTTTCCTTTTCTTTAAGGATATATTAAATTTCTTCATTGCAATTTTACATTTTCAGATTATAATTGTTTCAAGTTAAGCAATATTATTGCATCTATACATTGGGTATAGAGCAGTGCAAAACCAAAGCCAATGGAGGGAGGACACGGGATGAAAGGGTAGTACACAGCCTTGTCAGTGGAACAGAGTTACTGTGTGTTGTTTGATCTTCCTCCAGGACAAAAAACTCCCCTCGATGCTCTTCCACATACGAGGTCATTTTTAAATGTCTGTTTATAAACAGTGGAGGTCCCGAAGAGACCAGGGAATTATTGGGCCTCTGAGGACATCAGGTCCTGTCACGCCCGCCTCGCCAGCAAGGATGACGCAACAACAGGATCCTTCCTCACGCACTTTATTGGGGAACACACCATTGATTGTAAAGCGAAAGACCCCAAGCCTGAAATGGGTGCTGCTTAAATAGTTATCACAACTGTGTATAAGTGTCTAATTGGTGCTTCTTGCAGAACTTCATTTACATACTGCTCAGGAGGGTGAGGAGCTGCGTCTGAAAGATACGCAGGCTCACAGCAGGTGTTTATGACCCTGAATGCAGTTGTTTTCCACCTCAAACAGAGGGAACAAGCGCCATCTTCTAATGGCGGCTCCTTACAAGGTCCGGTTATTCAGGTGTGGCTGTGGCACTCTATTGGGCTGGAGTGTCTCCTATCCGTGTGAGAGCAGAGTCTGGAACTCTCTGCGGACACTGTCCCCAGTGCATAAGGACTCTGTGTGCTGGGAGTTGGGCTGTCAGGTTCTGTCTGACTGAGGAAACGTGGCTCCAGAGCCAACTGCAATGTGGCAGGACCTTTGTCCCTGAGCTGGGTGTTCTGCAGTGGGAGAGGCCATGCCAGCTGCCCAATCCTTGTCTCTTAAAGACAGGTGTGTGACACGCTGGACGTTCGTGCCTGAGACTATTGACTTTGAGCACTGCGTGTTCTCCCTGTCCTCTTGGAACTGCGCAGCATCCCTGGTCCTGCACAGACCCATCCGTGCATCTTCCGTGGACTTTCGGACGCTCCATAAGGCAGAAAGGGTGAGTTCGCGGTGGGAACTGGAGGCACCGACAGATCTGGGTACAATGCAACCTGCATCCTTTTGGACCTTCTGGTCTGCTGTGTGGACCTCTGCTGCTCCCAGCTTTCTGACCATTCAGGACTCGGCCAGAGGCCCCTGTGGGGAGCAGCTTGGTCCACGATCCCGTTCACTGGTTTACACACCTGGTCCTGTGTGGGTACGCAGAGAGGAGAGAGAGGCTCTCACTCTCTGATGGAGTCTGCTTCCCCTCCATTTATTTATTTGGAGATAAGGACTCTTTACATATCCCTGGCTAGCTTGGAACTCACTTTGTAATCCATGCTATCCTCGAACTCACAGAGATCCTCTTCTGCCACCAGTGGGCTGAGATTAAAAGTGTGCACCATCAGGCTGTTCTAGCCTCCGTCATATTTTTTTGAGTACTCAGTGTCTTTGTCAGGTCAGGGATATGGTCAGTCCTGCTGTCCCAGTGGTGACACACACCCACAGTTATTCCTGAGACAGCCAGGAGGGGAAAGATTTGTGTCGGGCAGCTGTTGAGTCTACCACAAGAGTCGGTAGGGTCTCTTTTCCATGTATCACTCCCAACTTGGGTAGGAGAAATACTAGTGTGCAAACTTCTGACCAACTAACAGGTGGGCGATGGCAGACTTGAGTACCACAAAGAATCAAGGTATTACGGGCTGCAAGGGATTAGAGCTGAGATGGGGTATCAGGGGTTATGGATTTGTTTTAGTCTGGGGACTTAATCCCCATACAGAATGTGTCCCAGATGCCTTTAAACAGTTTACCATACCAAAGAGGGGATATGAAGGCAGATAGGAGTCATGGCAACACCGGGCTCAGGGCGGTTGGTGAATGTCGAGGTGAGATTATTTGACAGGATTACAGGAGAGGCTGTAAGTGGCAGTTCTGAGCTAGTCCCAGGAGGAACACACAGCCAACAATCACCAAAGCGGCCAGGTTGGGCAACATGTAGGAGCCATTAGGCCAGGGTCAGAGCCTGAAGCAGGAGATGAAATGGCAGGTTGTATTATTTAGGAGAGGGGATGTAAAAGAGGTGATGACTTTGATGGAATGTTTAGTTACCCCTTGTACCTCCCCTGTCTCCAGGGCCTGGGTAATCAGGACATATTTTCTCTGGATATTAAATGTGCTTACCAGAAGTGGGGTTGGAGCAAAGGTCGAGTTTACAAGAAGTGCTTGTTTCCACCTGGAATTCCATGGGTCCAGGATATGGGATTCTGTTGGGAGCTGACTCTTAGCCGAAAGCGGCTATCATCTTTGCAGCCATCTCGAGGTATATACCCTGACAAGAGACTTGTTTTCAACAGCCCGCAACAGCTGAGCACACTCTGATAAACATCTTGTTTTGCTGTTTAGTGCCGCCAGCAGCTAGGCGCACGTGGTCTCCACGATGCAAGGCACATGACGTAGTGCCTTCAGCCGTGCTTGTCCACGAGGGCAAGGCACGTGGTAAAGGGTATAAATACCCAGGATTTCCTTCCAATAAACGAGACTTGATCAGACTCCCTGTCTTGTCTCCATTCTTCGCGTCTCCATCCCCACTCTCTCTCTTGCTAGGCCCTGACCTGCGGACTGGAGCAGCAGAACGGCCCGTTACAAAGTGGCCCCCCGAACGTGAGGCAGCTTGGGAGGTTACAGGATTCCTATCATATAAACAGAGGGAATCAGAGCGAGGTTTTAGGTATGGCAAATGATATCGGTAAGAGCAGTATGGGCATCCTTTACAACAACCTTCTGTCTGGTCAAAACGTCATTAAATGAAGAAGGAGGGGTGGATACGGGGCAGTGGGAATTTTCATCAGCTCCTGAGAGCCTGCTATGGAGCCATTTCCCGTCCCTATGTAAAGGAACTCTTTGTTGTGAGAGTTTCTCAAACTAACTGAAGTCATTTCCTGTCCTTGGTAAAAGCCTGCTACTCAAATATCTAGAATAGTGTAGACCTAATAATCCTTGTTTGTTTTTGCTTTTGTTTTGTGTGTGTGTGTGTGTGCGTGCATGTGTGTGTGTGCTATCCATCACATGTTCTGACTTTACTTTTGGAGATTGGTCCTTGTACTTGTTTCTCAGGCTGCCCCTGAAGGCCCTGGGCTAAAATGACCTTGCCTCTATAGGAGTGCAGTTGTGTACCACTGTGTACATTCAGCTCATTGGCTTTTTTCTTTAAAAAAAAGTTTTTTATTCTTATTTTTAAAATTATGTATGGGTTTGTGTACATGACTGCAGTGTCCCCAGAGACCAGAAGGAGGTGTCGGGTGCTCTGGGACTGGAGTTATGGGCTGCTCGGTATGAGTGTTGGGAACTGAACTCAGAGTCTCTAAACGACCATGTGCTTAACCACTGAGCCATCTTGCCAGCCCCCTCATTACTTTCTGAGCAGAAGGCTTTGACCAGTATTAGATGTTCCCTGTGTTAATTTTCCAGTACTCGGGTTTATATCTAAGCCTTCATTTGTGATAATCTCTTCCACTGAATCAATTCCTGACATTTGGTACTCTTCAGTAGATTTGAAAAGAAGCTTTGTTGCTCCCTAAAATGTTTCTTAAAGGATTTCCAGAATTTTATACATTCTTTCATTTGTTGATGTCTTGGGTTTTTATAAAATTATGAACCACTTCACCTTTCTTTATGCACATCTGACAGAACTTAGTAAGAATGTCACATTTTCTGTTAGAGGAATGAAGTTATATTATGTCATACTTAATTAAATTTGTAGAGAAAACAGGATAGACATTTCCACACTCTTAGTTGTAGTACATAACTGGCTAAAATCCACGTGTATGAACTTTACAATGTTTCTAAGTACATATGTATTTTAGAGACTAAGAAGGGAGGGTGTGTGTGTGTGAGTGTGTGTCTGTGTAAGAGTGAGTGTGTGAATGTGTGTGTGAGTGTATGAATGTGTGAGAGTGAGTGTGTGAATGTGTGTGTGAGTGTGTGAAT